TCATCGGAGCTTGAGCTTGATCCCGTTGAGCTACTAGTACTAGATATTTTTTGAAAATAAAAACTTAAATTATCTAAAGGTTGCGAGCTCTTACCTTAAGCCTAAAACTGAGGTGGTCCGAGGAGTATTTTGAGAGTGAAAGGTGACAAATGAAGTAGGATAGGGGGTATTTACATGATTCTGGATAAAGCCAAAGGTCTATCAATCCTCACCCTCTATCCACTAACATGTGGAGACCATCCAGCAAGGGCAATCATTGGCTCAAAGATTGGGGCCACATGTCACTTTCCTTGCATGATACCCATATTGACTCATCACCCTCATTCCAATCTAAAGGATCGCACCCCTGAACCAACCAGTCCATTTCAAGGCTGGTCTTACTTAATTCAAAGGCTGATCATGCCTATTTCCAAGGTTGATCGTGTCTATTCCAAAGCTAATCATGCATAATTCAAAAGTTGATCATGCATATTCAAAGACTAATCATCCCCATGCCAAGATTGCCCAATTTTATTTTAGGACATGTCATTCCTAATGCAAGAATATGCATCTCATCCCAAAAACTCGCGCATCGTGGGAAAGCTTCTGACATTGTTGCATGGGGGCCACCAATGTTTCCAAAAATGTGTCAACACCTAAGCATTGTCACTCAAGGAATAATGCTACCAATTTACCTATTTTCGTCCAATTTCCTCGAGCATTGTACCTTGGTAGGTTCCTACTCGGGCTATATCCTCGAGCAAGAACGTTCCCCATTAGCTTGGGGCCTCCTCGAGGTCAAGCATTGACCTCGCACCCAACAAACTTGGTCCATTAGGACTCTTCTATATGATAACGCTTATCCAATTTTAAGGAGCTTGAGTCCTGCTATAACTAACATGTCATATTCTGATAGGACTCTACCAATGGAACTCTATATTTATCCAAACACATCAATGATATGATATCAATCAAGTTGCAACTCCTAAACATAGTAGGATTCTTAGGGATTTGAGTAACTTAATTCTATCAAGAGCGTGCTACCTACCTCTATAAATACAGACCCCAATTCATTATTCAGGTACGCTTTTACATACAATTTCAGCATAGATCCCTTCGCATAATCTCTCTCTCTAGCATCAGAGGGGTTACGAGAACACACACCGACGCCTTTTGTTTCAGGTACTAAAAAATTATGTTCATGTTCATTACCAATCCTCAATCTCAAAAAATCAACAAGTACAATTTTTGGTAGCATCATTCATAAATAAATAATTGTGATGATTTCAGATAGAATCCCTGCAATACTACTATTTGTTATCACCTATACACCTCCTCCAACAATTATCCACGTGTCATCAATGAATTTCTCTCTCTTTTTTTCTTTTTTTTCAAAACACCAACGGGATATTAAATATTACTTCGTCAACTTTTTTTAGTTATAATTTTACCTACACATTAATTATTTATCAAATTGTTATTCCAATGGATTTTTTGTCATTGCTATTTATTTTTTATATTTTGTTTATTACAGACAAAAAAATTTATGAGTAAATTAAACTTATTAGAATATTTATACCTTTAGTATTAAAAAATGGTCGTAGTCTTAATTGGTATTATTAACTTTGATAATATTTATTTTTTATTTTTGCCAAAAATTCTGCACGTAAATTAATTTTTTGAAAATAAATTTTCAATTATTAGAGTCAGAAAAATCTGATTTGGACATTTCATTGGAAAAACTATTATTAGGAAAGAGAATTTTTAAAATTTGTGTGCTTCCCCTAAACGTGAGGTTGTAGGCAATTGTGTCATATCAATAATTTGAACTACGTCTAGTGACTCCAAATTGGGAATAAGTTTCATCGTGGAATGGAAAAATCTATCGTACAAATTTGTGCTTCATCTGAAATTAGATATATCTAATTATATGATGTCGAACCTACAAGAAAGAGAGTCCATCAAAAAGGATTTTTTATGAATTTCGCCAAGTCAAATCAACGTTTTGATTGAAAAGTTTCAAAATTTATGGAATTTTTACTTGAATAGGAGAAATGGTCATATACTTACTTATAGATGATTGAAGGGAAAAAAAATTAAAATTAATTAAATTTATCTTCTAATATTTTTTGCTTACTATTATATTGCCAGCAAATAGCTTATACATTTGTGATACCACATGCATTAGTTATGTTGGCAATAGCAAGGGCAGAGTTTGGACCTAAAGAGACCTTCTTTAGCTCCCCTCTGATATACTCATTCTAATTTTTGTGTATTTATTTTAAAAAGAATATTTTTTTTATCACAATTTTTCAAGACAGTTTCCCTATGAAAAATGGCTGTCTTGATTTTTCCATCGTGTCGCGTTTTTACTGCTTAATTATTTGGTGAGTATCTATACAAAGAGCGAGATAATTTCTTATATGTTATATGACATTTTTCTAGCAGTATATTCGATCTACTACCATATAAAGTAGAAATAGATATAGATATAGATATAGATATAGAAGGCTTTAATTATTTAGTGTGTGAGCAATCAAAAGGAAGTGCCCACTTGAAAATTTTAATAATCAAATTATTCACTAAAAATAAGATTGGTTAGTCCAAATTCTAAATTTTTATATTTCTAGACATTACATGACACCTAATTGTCATGTTTCCAAAAAGCATGGGGTAACTAATGCGAAGTTTGTCCCCCATTAATCACATGCTAGTCCTAGTTGTACTTCATGATGAAACCCTAAAAAATACAAATGACAATTGGATGTGAATGTACAATCACATTTCTTTTTTTTTTGCCCTTTTGGATTTTTTATAAACATTGTAGCCTACATATAAGGTGTGTTTGAATATAATTTTGAGGAGAATAGAAAATTTGAAATAGTGATTGATGTGAGAATGTGTGGTGGAAAAGTGATAAAATTTTTTTGATTTGTGTGTAATATTATTTTATTTGAAGAATGTGTGGTTGAAATGAAGAATGAGAATGAGAAATTAATGGGTGCCAAACGGGGCATAACTTGTCTTGAACAAGGGCAAAATAGCATTGTCGTTTCGAAAAAACCAACCCAGGGAATGAATAGAAAATTTGAAATAGTGATTGATGTGAGAATGTGTGGTGGAAAAGTGATAAAATTTTTTTGATTTGTGTGTAATATTATTTTATTTGAAGAATGTGTGGTTGAAATGAAGAATGAGAATGAGAAATCAATGGGTGCCAAACGGGGCAATAGTTTTATGTTGTTTTCATTAAATTTTTGTAATGTATACTAATATGGGAATGTTTCCAAATGGGAGCACTAAAATAAGTCGTCGAATAAAATAGATCGACAAGATTGCATGCGTAAAAAAAAAACTTGCAAGTTGAACCCTTCTCAAGATAAAGAAAAGATTATTTTCAACTCGTGCCACAGAGTATTGTATAGCATCTCATTACGAGTTAGTTCATTATATGCGATATTCGAGATCACTCCCGAAGATTGTGTGCATTCTCTTCTTGTTGGGAGCATCAGAATATCTAATATCTAAGGAGTAGATAATAAAATATTAAAAGGAACTTTTAAAATTCAATTTCTAATTACTACTGTATCATGTAAGATTCACTATGGGAATTACATTGGATTTATTTGGATAAATTAAGGAGAAAGATATATGTTAAACAACAAGTGGAGAGCATCTATAATGTTTTATTAATGTGGGGTACCACAAACATTGCATCATCTACAATGATTTGGATAGGCATAAATTCTGGTACATACAAACAATTGTTTCATAAAATTTTTACAATTATTAAACTTAAATCATTCCAACGGGAAACATTATGAATTCAGAAGATCAATTATATGGCCCAACATAGATTTGAGGAATAATTTATATTCCCTAGCCATATAGATATAGGGATTAGAATAATTTATAATCACTTATTGGGTTGTAAAGAGACCTAAAACGCTTGTTTAATAAAGTGAATTGTACCGTGTTGTGCTGATTAATCAAATACAAGTTATAAAATCGTATAATGTTAAGATTCTGAATGACTTTTCTCCCATCTTACCTATAAATACATCTTACCTATAAATAGAAAGTTCAACTAGCATATTGAATATATATCGCATAAGGATTCAATGCACAATGCATCAGTATCTACCAATTTTGGAATATTGAAATTATGTAATTGAAGAAAAATCACATATTGAGGGGACATTAATCCATCACTTCGTGTTCCTTTTTAAGATGAAAATCGTCTTTTTATACCACGAAAACACCTCTCGCATATTTGTATGAGTGCGTTAAAGTGTAAAAGCAAGGGACGACATGGGCTTATGTTGTTAGGCACTTTGTAGACAATATAACTAAGCAAGAAAGCAATTGCTTTTAGCTGTGTTGTGCATTGTGGAGAATAATCAAATTGGCCTCTTTACCTCTCTAATACCAATTATTCCCTGTATTTTCTATTTCAGGGCAACTATGAAAGTTGATTGCTACAATAGTACGTGCACAACTCAACCTTAGTTTTCCTGACAATCAAACAAAAATTTATTTACAATGAATTGAATTCCTTATCACTGCTACTATTCATTCTTACGTCTTTAAAATAATTAGATCTTTAACAACTACACGTCATTTTAGTTTACTTTACCCCTCCCTCGTCTAACATATTCTAGCGAGACTGCTTCATTTGGGGAGTTGAAGCTAAATTTCAAGTTGAATATATCATGATGTTATATAGAATTCTTACTATCATTAATAAGTTACGAATGTTTGTAGTCAATCAGACTATTCTTGAAAACCAACCACCTTGCCTCCAAGAATTTTTAAGAAGGAAAGCAAAATATCTAATTTTCACCAACAAGCTTAATTTATTGAAATAATAACTATTGTTGTTACACATTTCGACTACGTTTGCAGCAGCAAATTACAATTTTAAGTAGAACAGACTCGGTTAACAGTAAATATAAATTTGATGATGATTCACAAATCACAATATACTGATAGGTTTCTATTATTTGGATCATAACATCAAATCAAGAGAATATTTTCAACATAGATGAGGGCTTAGATGATCTTTTATTTCCTAACCAATGTTGCATATGAACTCCAATCGCATCCAAATACATGCTGCTCCTACCATGAAAGCCAACTACCTTGCCTTCTGTGGTATTTGATGTGAAAAAACCACCCAACTCTTCACCAAATGGACCGTATTTTTTCCGAGTTGTATAAAATGTCAAGGATTTTATGACTTCTGTTCCCTGGTCTTTGCTGATAGGACCATAATATCCACTTATGCAAGTTAATACTTCATGAGGATATTCCAACTTCACCTGAAAATATACACCTTGAGGTATTGATGGTGGTGATATTCAAATCTCGCACAATAGAATGATACATGATTAGATAGAAACAAAGACACTGAACAGGTTACCAACTAGTAAAGCGTAACAAGTTACTCACTAATTCTCTACATTCATGATAGGGACAATAGTTGAATGGTGTTCATGCTCAACATGCATCACTATGTGCATGGATAAAAAATAGCCACAAGTATCCTAACACATCCTGTATTGCATAAAAGCTACTGATAATTAGCTATGATGCTTATACCTGATTAGTTGCTCGTCCACCATTGCCACCATGTTTTACTGACCAAACAGATTGCCCATTTCGATCATACTCAATTTCAATAGAGCAAATGGCCTCCATTCTTGTTAGTTTGATCTGTTTAATCCCACAGAATACTCCATCATCCCAGGGTTTTCCACCATCTCCACCCCATGGACCAGGTCCACATGGAGCTGGATCTTTCACCAGTCGTTGGACGACCTACGCAGAATTATCTAGCTTTAGGACTCGTAAGCCAATATAATAATTAAAACACTAAATAATTTGAGACAATGTGTTAACATGTACATAGAGGTGTAAAGAAGTAACTACACGATACCTCGCCGGTTTGTGCTTGCTTTCCCATTTTAGAAAACCATTGAGGAATATCAGCTTTGTTTTTTAACACTGAAGTTTGGTTGTTGGACATGGAGGTGGAATTTGATGCAGGAATTTTGTTCTTGGACTTGGTGGGGGATACTACATCAAGGTCGCTGAATTTGGGGAGAGGATTTGATTCAGGCACAGCTTTCTCTTCTAGCACATGGACACCGATTGCATCGATAAACAATCCATTCCTTCCATGGAATCCAACAATCAGCGATCTTTCCTTCAAATGGGTTGAGAAGTGCCTTCCTTCTTCTCCTCCATAGGGGCCATATTTTCCCTTTGTAGTATGAAAAGTTAGTGACTTGATGACTTCAGGGCCCATAATCATTGTAGGACCATAGTAGCCTGTTATGTGAGTCAAGATTTCTGATGGGTAATCGAACACAATCTGCAAAGAAGAAACAATTTCCAGAGTCAATAATGATTTTGATGCAAAAGACACAGGATAATTTTCAAATTGGATTTCTTCAAAATGGGCAACCTTATCTTTTTTAAATCCTCCAGTGCCTCCATTTTTGCTTCCCCAAACAGGTTGCCCATTTTGCTCATAGCAAACTCTTAAAGAAACAATTCCCACATTGCGTGATAAATTAATTTGCCTGATGCCATCATAGACTCCATCATCAAATAGGCTTCCACCATTACCACCCCATGGTCCATATGTCAAAACTCCTTTAATATTTTTAGAGGGGACTCTCTCAATTTTGTTGGAGTTTACACATGCAATCTGAAATATATTTTCACCAAAGTTAACGTTCTGCAAAATAAATGAGAAAAAGTGCAAGAACTTAAAAAGATTTTTTTTTATCAAAAAGAGATCCTTTCACCTCATTCTTGGGTTCTGCATAGCTGAAGTCACGAGAAGTCTGCCTTGAGAGGTGATCTGCTGGAGAATTGTTGTGATCGTCCTTGTTTCTAACAGCAACAATAAGGTCATAGTTTGGACCAAGGCTTCCTTGGATCATCGAGTATTCATACTTCTCAGTCCGATGGAAACCATAATTCCGAGACTGAATGATAGAATTTGAAGCAATAGGTTTATGAATAGGCTCCAAATAAACACCAATAGCATCCAGGTACCAGCCACAATTTCCATGGAAGCCAACAATCTTGCCACTTCTTGTTGGACATGCAAAATAAGTACCTTGTTCAATGCCATAAGGCCCGTAAGTTCTTTTATTGCTTTCGAAAGTAAGTGATCGAATAAAGACTGGTCCACGTGCTTGTAAGCTACCATAATGCCCATGAATTGAAGTTAGGAACTCATCCGGATAATCAAGCCTGACCTGGAGAACCATCAATTCAAGCTATTCAAAATGGTTTTGATAATCTGAAATAGTTTATAAAAGTAGGAAAAAAGAATCCCATAATCTGAACAAAATTCTCTAGGTCAATAAATAAGAAAAAATCATTCCATATCACCTTAGTCAGAACAATAGAGGTCCTCCAAAGAAGGTAGTCGAGATATGGGACAAGAGTTGTAAGTTTCAATTACATGATCATCATTGGTGTATCACTCAGAAAACTTACCGAAGAAACTTGAACCTTGAAAGCATGAAATGAGATGGATCAGTTGTTCTCAAGACTATAAACTCACCTTGTCAGTTTTAGCCCCCGTATTGCCACCATGCTTTTCTGACCAGACTGAGGCCCCACTCCTATCATATTCAATCCTAATTGAAACTACTTTAGCTCCATGTTCTATCTCCAATTGCCTTACTGTGGAGTAAACTCCATCATCCCAGTGAAATCCATCTTGATCTCCCCATGGCCCAACAGATATGATGTGTTTTCCAGAATTCTCCAAACTCTGTATATGACTCCCCATAGTTAGTCAATGACTAATCGTATCTATCAACTACATAATCATACAGCATAATAACAAGCAATTAGCAAATGCATTTTCACTTACCGAATTGGAGTAATGATCCATAAAGTTAAAGGATAGATACTGAAGGATGAATTGCTGTTTAAACTTCAACTGATGAAAGGAAGGAAGTTATACATTCGACTTTATAGTGTGAAGGACAAATATATGCTCTTGGACTAGTAAAACAGTCCAGACACATGCCAATTAAACAAATTCGGGTTTCCACTTTGGAAGGAAAGCATTCAACAGAAAAGAATCTGATACCCAAAAGGTGAACCTTTACCTAATCTTTTAAAAAAATCTCAGTATACCTACAGGTGTCAATATTTGACATGAGCTTGGATCATCCAATGAATATAAGCAAGGATGACATAGACACGGGCCAGAACACCGGGTTGACTCTAAAGCCTGGGCCTGCCAAATATTCAAATATGCCAAATCAATCGAAAATTCTTTAAATTTGTCATATGAGCAACAAAATAATCGTGTTGTACTGTTTCATGGTTTTACTTCAAATGAGATGTGGCTTCCACCTCAAATTTACTTCCTAACCTCCCTAGAATTTCTCATATTATTAGGTGCAAAATATATTCTCTATCCTTTTTTTATTTTCGATCACTTCCCATAGAAGTTCTCTACAGCTCATCGGAAGGGGTCTAACTTGCATAAATTGGATAAAGGTTTTAAAAATAGAAATCAACAGTTCAAATAAACAAAGATGGGAAGGGCACGGTTTTCTGTAGGCAAAAGATTTTCAATACAAAGTATTTGTAGAATTCTCATAAACGTGAATAGACTATTAACCTTATGGTAGTTTGCAATTTCCGCGACCACAATAGTCATTCCTGAATTGAATTGTTTTAACAGCCAACCATCATTGAAAAATACAGATAAAGTTAGAAACTTGTACACAAAAATGGCAAGCAAGAGAAGGAAAAAAGCATGGAGAACTTAAGAAATTCTGAACAATGAAGAAACTATGAAATGGACAGAAATATCAAAAGAGCAGAGGCATAAAAACGGTTAGGTATTATTCATCCTTTAAAGTGCCACTACATGGAAGATGAAAAGTTCATTGGTGAGAAAGGTTTGGGGAAAGCTTCCAATTCTCTCAGTGATCAATATGAGGACAATTAAAACTCATGGGGAGTAATAAATTTGTGTATTGACAAGATCATTTACTAAAAGTAAGTGTCAAGTAGATGGTAACTTCTATACAGTCAGGGCAACAGATAAAAATAGCTTTCACTCAGTTCATAGCAGTGTTCTAAAATGCGTAATGCCTTGCAATGCGTCGAGTTCGAGAATCAAGAATCACAAGTTTAGGCGTGTCAATGCCAAGAATAAGCGTCATAATGCGTTTCATATTTTTAAGACACTAAATATATTTTTATAAAAAAAAAATAGATTTTTTACCAAAAAAAAAAAAATTGGGCGGCATAATGTACGCATTAGGCGCACCTAGGCGGGATTGGGAGCGCACATTGCGCCGCCTTTTAGATGGAAACGCATTTTCCTGCGCATCGCCGAATTCGACGCGTTTTTGCTGCGCGTCGCGCCAAGGCGGCTCATTTTCACGAGTTTTAGAACACTGGTTCAGAGTCGGATGATGCACATCCATTATACTTTAAAAGATGATCCTTTAAACAAATGAGAAATAAAAGACCATGAGAGAGAGAGAGAGGTGTACACATCCTTGAGTCTGGCTGTTCTCCAAGCAACAACACTATAGTAATTCCACTCCCTGCTTCAAGCTTTCAACATACCCTCCTACCACTCCCACTTGTGTGATTAGTTTTCATATAGTGTCTTTGACATATTTAATTGAAATTATGAATATATCTTTTTGTTTTCCAATTTCAAATGCCAAAGCAACAAATATGGACGACGAACAAGAGGATTGAAAGAATGAAATATCAATCACTAAAATGAAATATGTATTCTTTCCTTTTTACAAGTAAGAACAATGATATATACATTATAGGATATATACACTTTGAAAAGAACTTGTATTCCTCCATCCTTTCCACCATTTGATGCATAGCTGATGGACAAAAAGATATCCTTCATCCATCCACAATACTTTGGGTGAATGAACTGTGTCCAAATCCTCGGATAAAATATGTCAATTACACACACACACACACATACAAAAGAGGGTAAAAACCAGTATCCAGGTAACTAAATGATGTGATTCTACAAAGACAGAGCCTCAGTTCTTTAAAAGCCTCTACAGTTTCTAATGGTTCAAAACTATAAATCCTCACCTCAAGGATGCTGATTCCTGTTGTTCATCTTATCTACCAATAGTCACCACAAGAACATATCCCACGTTTGAAATGGTGTATGCATTTCGAATCACTTAAATATATTTCACACCCGTGCATCTTAGAGACCAATTTGGCAACCCTATGGCAATGCTCACACATTTTCAGGTTTTTGACAATCCGTATATTTCGAGGTGTTTGAGGAGATTTGATGAGAGAAAAAGCCAAAGCAAGTTTTTCACTATGAACTCCTCCGGTTTCTTCCATCTCTTCTTCCTGAATGCTAAGCCTATCACGGTAATTTGTTTCCTTGGCTTTTACCTCTATACTCCTTGTATAAGAAAGTAGAAATTTATCATCTAGTTTATGATGACCACCAGCAACAAAAGAATGCACTACGTTTTTGTCTTCAATCCAGCTACATCCTAGATATTCTTTAGGATCGTTTCTTTTTCCAGGCCTTCTCATTTTGAAAGATTCCTGGGAAATCCCACTTAAATCATATAGCTGTGAAACCAACCTGTGAACCAAGGCATTTTCTGGTTCCAGTTCAAGCAACCGCTCCCCAGCACAGACTGCCAGTTTAACATTTCCATGGGTACAACATGCAGTTAGTAAACCAGACCAGATGGAGACATCAGGCTCCACGGACATATCTTCAATGAACTTAAATGCTTCATCAAGCTTCCCTGAACGACCAAGTAAATTTACCATGGCTGCATAATGATCTAGACAAGGTAAAACATGGTAATACTCTGGCATGCTAGAGAAAAGACGTCTCCCTTCATCAACCATCTTAGCTTGACCGTAAGCTGAAATCATACTTGCTAATGTACCTCTATTTGGTCTACATCCCTCTTTTCCCATCTGTTCAAAGAGCTGGATTGCATCATATGGACAACCATACAGGACATAACCAGCAATCATTGTGTTCCAGGTGATGATATCTTTGGTTGACATTTTATTAAACATGGATTTTGAAGAAATGATATTCCCCGACTTGGAATAAGTGTCTAATAGGGAATTTGCAACTGCAAGCTCAGACACTAAATTGCTACGTAAGGCATAACCATGGATCTCTTTCACCTTATTCGTAGCAATTAAATTTGCACATGCCGGTAAGATGCTCAAAATAGTAACTGAATTGGGTTTTACACCAAAAGACTGCATTTGCCGGAAGATACCCAATGCTTTATCTTTCTGTCCATGCTGTAAGTAGCCAGCAATAAGAGCATTCCATGATGCAGTGTCTCGCTTAATACCTCCATCCTTCTCCATCCTTTGAAAAAGATGCATAGCTTGATCTTCATCTCCACTTTGAATGTAACCTGTGATCATCACATTCCATGTAATGACATTTGGTAATACATCTGATTCCTGCATTTTCATAAAGAGATCATGGGCTTTCCCACAGTATCCAGCTTGGCAATATCCACCAATCATCGAGTTCCAAGTATAGACATCCTTCTCCAAAATAATATCAAACACCTGCCTAGCAGACTCAAGTTTCCCACACTTGGAATACAAATCAACAAGTGAATTCCCCACTAGAACATCTTCACCATACCCCACCTTCATGGCAAATAGATGAATTTCCTTTCCGTTCCTTAAATTTTTCAAAGATGCGCAAGCTGAGATAGCACTCATGAGCGTAACCTCATTTGGTCCAACCCCAGACAGAAGCATCTCCCTGAACAATTCCAATGCCTCCAACCTCCTATTATTTTGTGCAAACCCCGAAATCACACTAGTCCAAGTAAAAACATCTGGCATGATTCCACAATTCTCCATCTCTTTCATCATTTCCATGGCAATGTCAGACTTCCCCAACCGATTATAACTCGAAATCAATATATTCCAAGTGACAACACCTGGCTCAATGCCTACTTCACGCATCAAATCAAACAATCTGCGTGCCTCCTTTGTTTCGCCTTCCTGACAATAACCAGTGATTATTGCATTCCAAGAAACTGTATCCTTCACCTCCATTCCTTCAAAAAACCTCTTTGCGGAGTTCAACCACCCACATTTTGAGTAAACAGCGAGAATAGAATTATTCACACGAACTTGGCTATTCATCCTGCATTTAGTAACTATTCCATGAATCAATCTCCCCGTCTCCAAGTCACCACAGTTCCCACAAGCCTGTAAAATCTTGGGAAACAAAAAATCATCCGGAACAATATTATCACTCTCCATCATCGAATGAAAAAGCTCCACAACTTCACCCCACTTCCTCTCCCTCGAGCATGCCCCAATTATCGCAGACCACACGTACAAATTCCTCTCACTCATTGCATTAAACACTTCAAATGCATTTTCAAGTGACCCACATTTAGCATACATACTAACTAACTTCGTTTCAACAAACGTGTCTGATTCCTTAAGCAATTTTCTTACATAGCCATGCAGCTTATAGCATAAGTCAAGTGAATTGGAGTCGATGCAGGAGTCAATCAGGTGCGAAAGAGTATTGGGACTTACCGTGGATCCGCATTTAACTATGGAGTCTAAAGAGGCCATGGCTTCACTGAGGCGCCCATTTTTGCAGAGATTCTTCAAGTGGGCATCTAATTTTGAGTCTGGTTTTGGAGGGGCATTTTTGAACGATATCAAGGGTTTTGTGGGTCTGTGTAAAATTTCTGGGATTTTTGGAGTTATGGTTTTGTAGGGAAGAACTATACTCTCCATTGGAGAGTGTTTTTTCTCTCCTTTTTTCGAATTTTTATGTCTGTACTAGAAGATTTTGCTGGGCCGCAAACAATTGCAGATATCACCTGTGTTCAGGATTTGGCGACGACAACAAATGAGGCCAATTATGATGTGCCACGTCGGAGCTTATCCGATCGTAAATCTTAAATGGGCCTGATCAGCCTTACTGGGTCCAATTTGGAAACTGAACTTTGAGGCAAGATGGTCCACGCAATTTTGGGCCATGGCGTCAAATTGCCCAATGTTAACAAAGACTTTCAGGGGGTGTATTCAAGGGAACAATACATAATTACCCCATTATAAGAACNATTATAATACTAATATTTCAAATAAATCCTAATTCGTTTTCAATCTCAATTTCTCTCACTACTCACTCACTTTCTGTCTAAAATCGAAGCCCGTCGAAAAGAAGGCCGCCGTCGACAACTGCCACCACCAGATCTAACAAAGCCCCGCCGTCGACAATGCCACCACCAGATCTAACAAACAACGACGCCTCTGAGTGCAAATATATGGTTTCGCAGGTACACAGATCGCGGCGATTCATGATTGCTTCTTCTCTGCTCGCAACGATGTGGCGAGATCAACTGTAGTTAGGTGCGGTATGGTGTAGTGGCAGTATGGTGTGGTGTGGTGGTGAATCTAGTGCGTTGGATCTAGGTAGCAGCGTCGGCGGTGGCGGGTTTGGGTTTTTTTTGTTGGGTTGTGATTGTGGTGTGGTGTGGTGTGGTGTGGTGATGCCCGTGTTGTTGGCCGCAATGGGGGTGGTGGTGGATCGGCGGTAGCGCGACGACGAGGTAGGGGTGTGGTGACGATGACGAGTTTGGGGTTTTTTGTTGGGTGGTGATTGTGGTGTGATGTGGTTTGTTCATGGTGGTAGTGCAATAATGGTGGTGGTTGGTGGTGTGGCTGGAGATTCGATAGTGGTGGTGCTTGTGGTCTTTGTTGGCAGTTGACGGGATTTGGTAGCGACGATTTGCTGGTATTGGTGTCGGTGGTGGTGGTGGCGGCGACAGTGACGAGGATGGTGGTGGATCTGGCGGCGATGAAGACGGGTGGATGCGGTGGTGGTAGTGTTGGGGCGATGGTGTGTGACCACTATTTAGTGTATGTGACCAATTACTTGGTTATTTGTGATCAAGTATTAAACTGTGACTTTAAAATTTGATAATTTGTGACTTGGAAAGTAATCTGTGACCAACAAATCTAAAAACCTGTGACCGATAGATAAATCGTGACCTGTAATTTTTTTGATTTGAAATAAAATAAGTTGTGGCCAATAAAAAAATTTATTTGTGACCTAGATGAATAATATGTGACCTATGAAATTTTGATAAATAATTTGTGATATATAAAAATTTTGATTTGTGACCGAGAAAAAATTTGTGACTAATAATTTGATAAATTGTGATCGAAAATTAATTTTTGATTAATTAATTAGATAATTGTGACCAAATTGCATATAATTGTGTCCTTACTATATTTAACTGGTAAAATATATATTTTATAAACTAATTTATTGAATTCATTATATTTAAATAATAAATATTTTTAATTATTTATCTAAATACCTGATTTTTGTATTTTTTAAACTTAAAACCTGAATTTTGAATTGTTGAAACTTAAACAATGATTTATGAATTCTTCCCTTTATAAAAAATTTTGCAAATTTAAAAAGTTTAGATATATTCAATTAAGACTTTTAAAGACTCTAAAAGTTTAAGTCCTATTTTGTTTGCTTACCATGAGGTCTCTGTGTCGTTCAAGCCCATTATAGTATTGGGGTACTCTCAGGTATTTGCCTTGCCTAGATCTGCAGTGAGAGGAATTTGACATCTAGCACTGATCTCCCGAGCTATAAGCTTGTGGAAGTTGGGTGAAACAAACAATTTTTCGGCGAGAAGGATATAGATATCTCATTAAGAGAGGACGAGACTGCTTCTTCGTGACTAGGACTGTACATGGATTCTAAACCTTGGGCATTCAAACTTAAAGCGAAGCAAGCAGGTGGCATGTTCAACCAAGCCCTTCATTCAGCTCGATCAATAGAGATAGATGCCCCTCTTCGAGCTGCTCTGCCGGGGCTACCCCCAACCCTTTTACAGTTCCAGAAGCAAAGGAAAAAAGCTTCGGTAGTTCCATCTCTCTAACACGGCAAGAGTTCCGGTGGAGGGTGAGAACCCAAATAGAGAGGGACCTATGGCAATAGTTTAAGTCGGCCCAGTGGCAGAGATAGCAGCAACAAAGCCTTAATAGAGACTTTTATAGACTTTTCAAAAGTCTCTAAAAGTCACGCAGTATTCAATTGAAACTTTTCAAAAGTTTCTACAAGTTATGAGATATTCAATTGATAACGACTTTTAGGGAATTTATAATCTACTACACTTTTTAGAAACTTTTTGGTAGAAAATATAAATAAAAAATCTCAAAAGAAATCTCCCATCTAATGTGAGATTTCTCAGAGCCGGCCTCTTCTCTTTTCTTTCACACACTAGCGTTTTCTCCATCTCTTCCAATGGGGTAATTTTTGATTTGAATATTTGCTTTGAGTAATATCATAAACGATGGTTTATGGAAGCAAAGGAATTTCTGCAATTTGAAAATCAACGTGAGAAGTAGTTACTAATGTATCTCAACTCTGGGAACTTGAAATAAAAGAATTGAAAGTTGCATAAATTCAGTGGAGTTAATTACATTTTTTGTGATGTATTGAAAGTTTATTTTGAACTTTGAAAATTGTTTCCGTCTGTTAGTCGACATTGGTAATATTAACGTAGAAAGAGTGTGTGGTGGCTTATGTGGATTCTGATTAGTTGTTATCTTCACAAGTAGAAATGCAATGTCACTAAGTGTTCATTGAACTTCAATTTGTTTTTTAAAATTGTTTCCAACTACTAATCATTCCGTTAGTCAATATTCGCAAACTTAATGCTGATATAATATAGTGCGTGACAAATGTTGTGGAGTAAAAACTCCATTGCTGCATCCATGAACTTTAGGTCTTTTGGCTGATCGAGAGATTAAACAAATGTACCTATTGATAGTGCTTTGAAGGGTCATATGAATTCATTTCTGTCATTTTTATGTTGATGTTATTGGTTTACATTTTAGTCCATATTCGTGATTCATAGTTTGTTTACATTTTAATACATTGCATATATAATATGATAGCAGTACTAATGAAAGATTCAACACAAGGAAATGACAAGATTCAAAGAAGAGGTATTGAAAAATACAAGAAATGGACATGGGAAGAAAGCAATGAGCTGCTAAAACTTATGGTTGATGCTGCTCTTCGTGGCTAGTGCGATAGTAATGACGTGTTGAGCAAGATAACTGTAGAAAAACATAAATTCTCCCATCTTAACCCAAAGCTTGAGATTGAAAAGATTTATGCTCAATATAAAAGTCGTGTGTAATGGTTTAAAAAACAGTACAACAAATATTCTAAGCATATGCGCTATCACTGGATTTGGATGGGATCGTGTGATGAAGAAATTCAATGCAAGTGATGAAGTATGTGACGATTACTCTATGGTGAGCTTCTCTTATTACTTGATTTAAAAAATATATAAAATTTAAGCTCATGGTTAGTTATGTGTATGTTTCATACGTTAGAACTTAAAATTATTTTTTCTTTACTAGTCTCATCCCCGAGATAAAAGTTATTGCACAGACACTTTTGCGGACTATGAAGATTTAAGAATTACAGTTGGAAGTGAAACATCTGTTAGGACACACTCAATTGCACTAGGGGATGATACTCATGCAAGAACATTTTATACAGAAGAAAGAAGGGTTAGTGCGGTTCAATAGATAACTTCATGTATGATCTTGATATTGAAGCATTTATACCAACTGATAAACAAGATTCTATAAGTTCAGAGGTTCCCCAATCAATTTGAAAATGAAGTAGAACTGAGTTTGAAGCAAAATCTAGCTCGTTTGATCCCAAAAATACTTACGTTATAGACGAACTTGCTTGTATAGTTGACAAGATCATTTGAGCTATTGAATCAATTGACACTAGATAGTATAATTGTTGGGACATTATCAAGGAGATTCCAAACTTGGATGATGATGATCGTTTCAAGGCCCGCTGAATACTAAAACAAAGAAGTCTGAGTTCTTGAACATGACACCAGAAAAAGGTCTAAATGGATAATATTTAAACTAAAATGAAGCATTTTTTGGACATGATCGATAGTAAATTTTAAAGTTTTGGATTGTTAATTTACTATTTTTGGTTTTTTCAGCTTTGATTATAGTATTGAATTCTACATTTTTTGAGTTATTTATTGATTATGTTTTTTGATAGTATATTAAATTAGTTAGACCTAGTTTATTTTGACATAACATTATCATTTTCTTTGTGTATGTTTTTAATTTTTGTTCCTTCTATTTTTAGGTACTTCCATGTATATATAATGTCTAATTTTAACATAAACGAAGCTCATAAAATAAAGATGGATAAGATTAACGAAGACGAGAATGAGAAAGCATTATATGAAACCATTAGTTATTTATGGATGGCAATTCAAGCAATTCTCTACGTGATAAATGATTATATAAGTAATATGTTCTGTGAAAGTATTGCACCTTCACTAATTAGACGACCAAAACAAGCTATGAATATGACTATATACATGAAATATTAAAAGAGGATCCAGAAAACTTTCAACAAATTTATAGAATGTAATCAAATATATTTATAAGATTAAGCAATATCATTAGAGAAAAAAAAACATTTACGAGATACTAGGTATATTTGTATTGAAGAAGTGCTTGCAACATTCCAATTCATTGTTGGTCAAAATACTCGATATTGCTCGATTTGTAAAAAAATTGGTCAATCGCATTTCACTACCAACCGAAGTTTCAACAAGATTTCACAGACATTCAACAAATCTGCAATAAATATGATGGTCAAATCGGAATCCATTGTACCAGAAAAAGTAAGGGAAAGTATAAGATTTTACCCTTACTTTAAAGTAAGTCATGACATAATATTTATTATAAATTTTTTTTTGTCACAATTAATGTTCTCATTATTTGTTTGTATTGTTTTATTTTTTAAGAATTGTATTGGAGCTATCGATGGGAACCATATTCCAGCAATAGTAACTATTGTCATGGAACAATTTCGTAGAATGTTTTGGTTGCCTATAACTTTGATTTGGAATTTATATACATGCTTTGTGGTTGGGGGGAATCAGCACATGATTCTAAGGTGGTGGTAGCGCTTTAACGAGGAGAAATGGACTTAAAGTGCCACAAGGTATGACTTTATTATTTCATTTATTTTATTTTATTGTATTGTATGATAATTATACAATATTATAAGTCACTTGCTAATTTTACAAGTATTTTATGTTTATGCAAATATGTTTTGGGAAATTGGATTTCCAAATCGACGTCAATTCTTAATTCCTTTTTGAGGTGTTCGTTATCATCTTCAAGATTTTGCTGGTTAAGGTTGTGACTCTGAAAATATGAAAGAGTTGTTTAATTTTTGTCATACTTCCTTGAGCAGCGTAGTTGAAATGATACAATTTTCAAAATAGCTCCTCCCTTTCCATATCGTACACAAGCAGAGCTCATATTAGCTTGTGTAAGATTACACAATTTTCTTCACAAAGAGTGTTGTTTTGATGAATTTTTCTGTTGAACCTGATAATAAAGATTATTTATCTTCTTCAGTTAATGAAGGAGAAGATTTTGGACCATTTTTTGAAAGTCAAGAACAAGAAATAGAGAATGCTAATGCATTCACTAAAGGATATTTTGATATCTTACTCCTTATTAAAGCCTCAGTAGATGGTTGGAAGATTTTGTTTTTGACATTTTAATAAAATTTCTTATAAGATTGATATATATATAATATCATTACGAAGAACTAATAAAATTTTCTAATTGCAATTTTAGTTTGTTTCCTTTAATAATAAGTTAAAAGACTTGAGACTCTATTTGATAACCTTTATTTCAAAAATATTTTTCTACGTGTTCATTTTCAACCACACATTCACCCAATAATATATTATACACGTGAATTCAAAACATATTTTTTTAAAAATCAATATTTAAAACTCTATTTTATCCAAATAATGGATGTCAAACAATGGATTAAAAGATTTTGTACATTCAAAATTATGAGTGTGGATACTAGTGGAAATTCTAACTTAAAAGTTGTTAAATTTTAAATAATAAATAAATAATTTAATTAATTAATATTACCAATTAAAATTTAATCAATAAAATTTCGTACTTACAAATTCATAAACTAAAACAAGATATGAATATAGACATCTTACTATTCAAATAAAATTATTTCGTACTTAGGGAATATTTGATTGTACAAATAAATAATTATTTTGTTAAATTAAATACTGTATATGTAATAATTTATCTAAACACACATATTCAAAATTAATCACTTATTATTGAAAACTCTATGGTTTTCATTTTCAACTCAAGCATTCATAATAAACCACAAGACTTGATTACAATCACAAGAGCGGAAGGAACCACAGTCATAATAAAAGTCTTAGCAATAAGTAGATTATTACAGCCCAAAAAAGAGCTAAAATGCATAGTACTTTTAATATCAAGCAGTAGCAGTAACAGTAGCAGCATGCTTGTCGATTGCAGCCACCAAATTTTCCTTCCTTGCACCGACAACCCTATCCACTTCTTTCCCATCCTTGAGGAACAAGAATGTTGGCATGGCCTCCACGTTAAATTCTTGAGCAACATCCTGTCGAAGAAATTAACAGATGATTTTGCTTCTGAACCGAACAATGAAAAGGCTAAAATACGATGGACGTTTACACCCCCAACCGGCCCCACCTGCCTCTATCGTGAGGCCACGATTATTTTATTCACTGTGGCCCTCCCCTAATGGGAGGGGAGTGTAAACGGGGGTGTAAACCTCGTGTACGAATGATTTTACCCAAAATACGATAGACTTACCTTTAGTTCATCCACATCCACCTTCAAGAATATAACGTGTGGAGTCTTCTTCGCAATCTCAGCAAAAATTGGGGAAATAACTCGGCAGGGCCCACACCAGGAAGCGGTGAAATCGACCACCACCTGATTGATTGATTGAAAACAATAGGATTCAGATTCAGTGTTACCAAATCAATAGAGGCCAGCAATTAACCCGAAAAATTGGTAGATAACCGATTAAAAATTATGAAAATTAACAAAAAGAACTGCAGAAGTTTCAATTATTACCAATTTCTTGGTCTCGATGCCCTTATTGAAGTTCTCCTTCCACTGATCAACGGAGTGGCAGCCGATAACCTGTCCTTCTTCTGCAGCTGCGGCCATTTTTTCTTCTCACAAAAACCCAAATTTCAAGATGTTTTAATTCTGTGCTGAAACCGATGTTCCACGGCGGTTTATATAGGGGAGGTGAAAACTATGAATTTGCCATAATGTACTATCTCTTCCCGACAATTACAAACTTGCCATCCAAAAGTCGATGGGCAGCTAATATCGTCATCATATTTATGCATAATGCTTACCGCGACGTAAGAACAGTGGTCATTTCTTAATGGAAAAAGTCAAGTGTGCAGGAAATAATGTGTAAGTTTTACGTACCCTCATATTGGTGGACCCCATGGGGACCCATAGTAATAAAAAATTGCCCAAAAATTTCCATCGTGGCCCCAAGCAGCTCTCTCTCTCTCTTAATTTCTTGTGGCCTTCGGTGGGAACGGTAAATCTGACCATGTACGATAAGGGCTTACGTGGCGATCGGATAAGAGCGATAATTGACATGTAGATCACGTTTCTAGCTTACTCAATGACAGACTCAAAAACAAAAGAGACATGTATCCATATATGATTGGATAGTTTGAAAAATAAAAGAAAAAGGCATTCACACATACGTTGCCAACTCAATCTGTTTGTACTGTTTCTATTTTTTAGCCCGTACAAATAGCTTTATTCTTTTTCTTGTCAAGAATGTATTTTGAAATATTGATTTAATTGAAAATGTACGATAAAAATAAAAAAAATATTTTTAATATTATTTTATTTAAAAATGTGTAATTAAAAATATAGAAGAATAAAATGTACGGTTACAATTCGATAACATTCACCATTGGTGTGTGGGACAATTGTGTTTTGCTTGACTTCATTGCGTACCTTTTGTCCAACGGCTGAAACTTCTCATAATTTTTAAAGGTTTTAGAATATTATTTTGTGAAGCGCGTACAATAATTCTTCTACCACATTTTCAATGAATCTATTCAAAAAAATTCGTCAAATATTCATTCAACAAATCTTTCTTTGGAAAATATTGTACGTAGCCCCTTTTTGGATTCCATTAAAATTTTAATATATTTTTTTTATTTCTTCTTTTCAATCATATATTTTTTCAATAAAAGAATATTTTACGTAAACCCAAAATTGTTCTCAAAACATCATTAAAATGGATCTATAATTTTTCCTTACTTTTTGATGGATTCAAAATATTATAAATTTGAATTTATTGAATTTGAATTGATTTCCATATAAATCGTAAAAATCTCATTAAAATGATGAAATTTCAAAAGAGTTTGTCACATGTATTTTTATCTTAAATCTCTTAAAATTCATTTATTGATTAAATCCTTATAAATTTATGATAATTGGAGACACGTAGACATTAATGGATTATCTATCCATTAAAATCCCAAATATGGAATATCTAGATTTTACCAAAATTTATTATAATTCATTACAATATTAATTGGAGACGCCTAAATTTATTATCAAATAGGTGAAATTCATTAAAATCTCAATTGAGAACATCCCTTAATTTTGTAATAAAACTAAGTGGAAAAGAAAGAAAAGTCAACTAGTCATTCATTATTATCCATTATTTTACGACAAATTTACATAATCTTACATGAAAACTAGACTCCAATTTCCATGGCAATTTTAATAAAGAATGGAATGGACAAGGTCAAAAATTGTCTATTTAGCGCACTATACATTCTAATATATAATATATGCAAGTTTAGATACTTTAAATAGAATTAAATGAGAAAATTAAGTTAAAATTTTGTTCGTTATACTATACAACAGATGAATATTATGTACCAAACATATACTCCGTGACATAAAACAATTTCTTCATTGGATTAACACTTCCTTTTTTCAAATCAGACCAGCTCTCTCTCTCTCTCTCTCTCTCTCTCTCTCTCTCTCCCCTTCAAACAATAGATAAATTAGGATCAGGAAAAATTTTTTTTAACGGGAATGAGATAAGGGAACCATGAATAAAATAAAGCAAGTTGCTCACATCATCCCTTGCTTTTTACCTACCTTTCGTCAGCTTCACCGTCCATAATTTCTTTGCACTAATCTCTTTTTACAGAATTTTTATTAGCACGACAGCAATGTGCATGATTAATAAAGAAAGAAAAAGTTCAAAGATTCGCATATAATACTCTATATCAATGATGCTCGTGCGATGTCACATCTTGGTTGAAATGTCTCTTTAATATGCTCATTCTACGGTGACGGGAAAATAAATTCCGATCCACTATCCAAAGTGGGGGAAAGAGCAAACTATGTATTGTACGGTTTACAATTAGTCTTCTTACTTCTAGTCAAAATCGACAATTTCACTCATTTGGTCATCTAAGTTAGCATAATTATGTGCTTTACTTCGTGATTTCTCGCATCATTTGCACCATCACCGTGATATTCAATCATAGCAAAATAGTTTCCTTTTCTCTATTTTTACTTTTACTTTTTGCTTGAATGGTTTGTCAAATATAAGTCTCTAGAATTTTCCTTTTCATTGGGTATAAGAATAACATTTTGGAATATGCTTGCGACCGGGGTGGTCACCGCGAATGTGAAGATTTAGACAAGCCCATTTTGAAATACAATTCTTATTCAAATACTCATCTTCTATACTTCCATTTCCCAACTCTCCCTTTTCCTTTTTGGGTAAGATAAGATTAATATTCTGGCATATTATGTCACTATCACCAATGGTCAGAATTGTTATATTTTAAGTTACTCATGCGACATTGGTCGTAGATAAAACATGACAATGAACAAACTTTTACATATACTTCTCTTTTCTGATGTTGGTATCCACCACGTTTTGTCAAGGCTGGCGAAGCTAATGATTATGATCCACTAAGCCTAACACCAAGCTACTAAGTAATCAGAACATATGGTTGTATCCCAGTATGAATCATCTATGGTATAAAGCTGGATGTGAACTGATTTCTCTATTGAGTTCTTGTTTCAGCAGTTGATACAATCTGCCTCCAATACTTCCTCAACCTATGACTGATGTAACATCATCGTCCCCAATCAAAATCTAAAGCAAAGCCCAGGCTAAAAGAAGGCCGTGCACAAGAATCCAAACGATGCAATTTGATCAAAGCACTTCCATTCAAGGTTAGGGAATGGAGAAGTTCGACTCGGAGTTGTTAGGATGGGGGAGATCATGTGACTGAAAATCCAAGTTAAAGCCACTTTTGCTCTACCCCCATAAATACCACCGTAAGGTCAATCTAAAAGCAATCTGACTTGAACATCGGAATGGAATAGGCCATCCCGTCAAGAAATTAGACTCAACAGACATTCATTTCTTTATATCTCGTTGGCTATAAAAAGAACACAACTTTCAAAGACTTGGAATGACTTAGCTGACAATATCTAGAAGACAAAATACGATGGTGCAATACATAGAAAAAAATAAAACCAAAAATGCTTTTCAGTAACAAACCCCTGCTGTCAGCTAAACCAATCAATCTTGTGATGGTGGGGAAAAAAAAAGATTGCCTGGTCAACTTTTTCTTCTGTTTGAACATTACAGAAAATAGCTAAGTTTCTCTCCCCTACAGGTCGTGGAGAAACAGATCATAGGTGCTTTTAATTATCTCGAAAGTTTCATTTCCAGCTCCAACCAATCCAGTCAGAATCCCAATTTTCAAGACTATTCATCATCCGATGACGAACCAGAGTATGCTGGCCTCCTAATGTCATCTCCTACCATCGTGTCCTAAAAGCAGAGGAAGAGCATTCATACAAGGAAAACAAAATTATTTACTAGAAAGTGAAATTTTTAAGCTCAGCCAAACATGCACTAAATACTACAGGAAACAGGAAGGGTGCATCATGCTTTAACAAAACTGAAATGGCCGAGATATTGATTGGAAAACCTACCTGCATTTTATCCCAATCTTTCAACTTGGAATTTGTTAACATGTAATTATCACGCATAGGGGCCCATGCAGGTCCTTCGCCATCCACTGAGCTACTAGATGCACCGACCTGTATGTGACAAACCATAGAAATTTTGATAATGAAAATCGACTCCCTGAACGGTAGTACAAGAATTGATACTGAAAATCCCTCCTGTAACTGTACAGGCTCCCATAACAATAACATATTTTGGTTTGGGCATTTGCTCACATAATCTCACTAAAGAGGGGTTTTTTTCATTGTTGATGTTTCAGCTGTCAAATTTAAATACACTTTTCTAGGGCTCGGTACTAGACCATGATGATCAAAGTCAAATTGTGATCCTTTAGTAAAGCAAATTCAACTTCAAAAGTTCCATGGCTCCTACCAATAGAATGGCAAATTGAGTAATGAGAGACAGAGACGAGAGATAACCTTAGCAACAGTCCCAGTCGATTGGGAAGCTGCCTTGCCTAACTCTGAAAAAAAGGCTTCTTTCCTCCGCTTCTTTATAACTGGCATTATTTCAAGCACATTGATAAGGATCAAACTATGCAATTAGACATGATCATAATCATAAAGTAAGGATATGAAATCATAGTATATACAAGTTCAAGCAAATATCAATATATAATTTCATTTCAGAAACATACAGAGGTAACTCAAACCCCTACAATGCTAGATGATTAATATGATATGCTGATACAGTCTCCCTAAAAATAGAAAAAACTAGGATTTTTAAGGCTTTCTCAACTGTGAAAATCTTTTAGCTTTTTGGGGCAAAGATGAACGGGCAACTCTTCTAGAAGAAATGAACAGACTACTTGTACTGAGAGAGAGACCCTGTATAGGAACCATGTCTCAGATCGTTGATGATTTTGTAATCTTACTAATGTTGACATTGTAAAACTTCCATACACGTTCAAACAAAATGCTATTTCTGTGAGAATAGCTTCTCTCTAGAATTTTATTAAAGATTTGAAGATCCCAGCTGCACAATCCCATGCTCCTCTTGCTAATTTGAACTTCTTGAACTAAGGTACATATTTTTTCAAGTGAGAACATTTGTAATGGCATTGTGTATCATGTTACATGAACATAGAAAAGGTGTGTAGTGGCACACGTTAGCACCCCTTGAAGCTTCTTTCACAAAGTAAAGAAGGATTTTAACTTTATTGAGAAGATATTAATGTGCTCAAGCTTACTGAGCAAACGTAACCTTGGGGTTGAAAGCAAAAAGCAATGGACTGAGCAGTCTGATGGTGAACTGTGCAAAGATTATAGCTCAGCTGATCTACACCCGTAGTGAGGTGAACTAGGGGACCCTCCCCTTCCACGGGGAGCTTTTAAGTCTATGTTGGAGGATACCCAGATGAGCTCATTAGTTCAACTTTTATTCAAGTGACAACAAATCATCTCTACCAAGATCCAATCCATACGTTGCAGCATGGACTCACCGCTATCAATTAAGTCCAATGAGAGTGCCATAAACCCATAGTACAACAACACAATAAGGACAAAAACAGAACAATTGGAACTGATAAACTGTGCAAACACAAGTTAGATTGAGTTGACAAATGAATCCAACCAAATATTCAAAAAGCAGTTACTTTGTGCCACTCTTTACAACTATTCCAAAGTGTGGCAATGCTTGAGCTATAAACTTGCCTTGGTCCTAAAAAGGCCAATAAATACATTTAGTAGCGTTCACCACATTCAAACATACGTGTTCCTGTTGATTAACAATACTCTCAGAATATTAAATTTAACGGGTGGAACTTGGAAGACTCTATAATGAGCATGCTCAAAAAGTTAAACAATAATTGATGACATGATTAATCAATTATATGCTAACAAAAAGGCATGAAAAGAAATTCTGAAACTAAATATCACTAAGCCTCTGTTTGCCAAACATTAAAAGCTACTAATAAATTACTTTTTTCTATTAAGTCAAATTCAAACATTAATTTGAACAACACGTTCACAACTACTACCCATTAATTAACCACACATGTAGTGGGACCCAATACCATTTCTCCTCAAAAGTTACTTAATAGTTTTACCCAAACACTCCTTAAACTGGATCCGTAACCGAGAGGACAATCATAAGATTTACAAATACTGATTTAGTTTCCAAATGAGACTATTGTATCGATTGGTACCTTTTTCATCTTTTGACCTTGAAGGATTTAATCCTTTCTGAGCACTCTGGGCCTTGTTTACCTGCGCAGATAAGCAATGATGAGTTCAAACATAGAAAAATATGATGGTGTGAAAAAGGTAAAGGAGTCGGCCAAGAAATAAGTGTGTAATCCAAACTAGACATAAGAACTTACAGCATTAAATAACTTGACCACTGAAAATCCAGCATGGTACATGTATGTTATAAAAAAACACGATCAATCTAGAAATCACAATATGTATCTCCATTCAGAACACAAATTTAACCATCAAAACAACTTAATGTACCTCCTTTAGTTGCAATTCCTAATAGATACTTCTCATGAGAGTCCAAATAGTTGGCAGGCTTCACATGGCCCTTCTCTCTGACCTTTTACATCAAAATGAACCAAATAATTTACAAAACCTAAAAAGAAAACAAGAACACCACAGTACATGACAAGTCAGAAAGCAATACCGAGTGCTTCTCCTTCTTCGCCTCCCCCTTATCCTTCCGCTCTAATTCTTCTTCGACGAGCTTCTCAGCTAGAAGCTTCTTATGGGCAGATAATACAGGGCCCTGCAAACATATCAAAATTAAGTGAAGTTTCTTACTACAAACTTTTGCAGACATACAAGAAGTTTTATGAACTTCGTATCAAAGGTAAACATACAAAAGCCCAGCATCTTACCAATACATCAGTGGAAGCAGTCTTTTTTACAATTTTCTTGAATGCGACACTAAATGCTTTGATACCCTCTGTGAACTTCATGATTCCCGGCTGAATTTTCCCATCTTCATCTTCTGAAACATCATTTTCTTCAGCCCCATTATCCTCCGTTCCATCGTCATCATCAGAAAATTCCTTTTCAAATTCATCTTTCTTAATCTTATCTCGAGTCGAAGGTACAGACTGCTCGAGCTTCTCCTCCTCCTCCTCCACATCATCATCATCTGAATTGTACTCCCTTGCTCTTTTCTGAAACAATTTTTTCATTCTTTTGTCAATATTCACCTTCTTTTGAACACCTTGAGGCATCATTTTTTGTTTTTTCTTTGCCTTTTTAGCTTTCTTGTTTCCTCCTTTCCTTTTCCTCGGCCCCTCTTTAACTTCCATTGCCTGCATTACTTCTGTCATGACCTTGCCCTTCACTACGTTTCCACAAATTGCAGTATCTCCCTCCAATAAACTAAAGGCAAAACAAATCAAATAGACAAAAATATTACTACTTAACCATCCTTATTTAAAGAAATAAAACTTGCTTTGACTAACCATCCTTATTAAAAAATTAAAACTTTCTTATTAAAAACGCTTTTTCTACATTTCAAAGAATGTTTGTATTTGTCAACAGGGGAGGAAACACCTGAGGTCTAGTGGGGTAAGTCACCGTTTACGCTCAGGGGAGGATCCACCTGGGGTCTAGTCGGAGATTTTGGTTCTGGATATTTCACCTATTACACTTGAGGGGCAGCCAGTTTTTTAATGCAAGGGAAAACCATAAACAACCGCATCAAAAATTCAAGAGAAATATTGGAGAAAACAATCACTGTAGCTAGAGGAAGATTACCATCAAGAAACAACACTTTTGGAAAAATAAAATAAATTATAAGGAGTTTAAATTAAATCATTCACAACAAACAAATCAAGTTGATTTCAAAATATAAATAAAGCCCGTTTTAACACTAATAATATCCGATAATACCTTCCAAGTTTGGTGATGAAGAAGTTTAGCAGAAATCACTGCAGCACGAGATAAATTGGTGCCGAGGGGGTGATGAATACGTTCCCAATTTTTAGTGTACTAACGAGAAAGATAACCTAGGCCGCTCTTCCCCCTCTAGGAATATGACTAGACAGACGAACGGATATGGGTGGTTATCGTTTGATAGGCCCGCCTTTTAATTGGGATTTACAAATTTATGAAGCCATCTAGGCCAAATGACCCAAACCCAAGTCATTAACTTGAGAAGCAGAGGAGAGATTTGAAGCATAAAGTAGTATTTCATTTTTTTTTTTTTAGGCTCGAGCAGAAAGTGTGAGGAAAACTGAAACCCTGGCTTTCTTAATTCATACGTATTCCTTAGAAAAAAATGGCTTTTTTAAGAAATTAAAGTCAAGCCAAGTAACGTCAAGTTATGTATATCTAATTAGGGGGAAAGAGCCAGGAAAGTAACTCGGTGTGGGCACAATTTATCGATGCTCAACGATGAGTTTTTGATTATTCGACCTCCCCCCATCAACATTTACATTGTCTACATTAGTTTTTCTTTGAAAGAATATCTTCATTTCATATCTAGATTTAAACATTAGATATCAAATTACTAACTGAGAGTAATTCAGAATCACATAAACAAATTCACAAATATTAGAAGCAAAAGCAAATGCAACAAATCAATTCACACTTTCACATGTCAATTCACAATTTCACATAGTAATACTATATATAAGCAATTCTCAATTAACTTAACAATACTATAAGCAATTCACGGTGCAATTCACAAGCAATAATATTTCCAGAACTTATGCAATTCACACTTCACAAATTACAGTGATAGAGTAAGCAATAACTCACAGTCACAGAGGCAGACAGATAGCAATACTGGAAGGGTTCTGATAGTCTGGTAGCCAAATCAATTGTACAACAATGTGTATAATGAAGTAGGCTTCGAGCATAACTTCTCTTTTCACAATTAAAATGAAGTTAAAAAGTAAATAATCAAACAAAAATCTCAATCTAAATGTGCATAAAAAAGTTCTTGACATTACAACCCCCAAGCAATTTCACAAGCACTAATGAATGAAATCAAAATAAAATTACCATTTCTGAAACACGTAGATTTATAGGGTTAATTTCATTGTGATATCTAAGCTCACTTGTTGCTAAAAAATTTCAATAAAATCAAGAAGACGAAGTTTATATGGAAGTCTCACACATCAGTTTCTTTATATATTGCATAACAGCATAAGTTTTAGGTTTGAGGTTAAGGGCTTCATCTACTCACATTTTTCTTATGTTGCTGTCGATTGCCGAAGAATCGTCGGCACCCAGTGGCCAGTGGTTGCGGTCTCGACTCTCGCGGACTCGCCGTCTAGGGCTTGAACAGGGATGGAGGTGGGCAGAGCAGCAATGGGTTCAAGTTGAAGGAGTGGATAATGGATATGGGTTGGGAGAAAGAGATGAGCAACCGGCACTAAGAGTTGGATGCCGGGAGGCGGAGGTCGGAGGCGGAAGATTTGGAATGAAATTCCCATGGATTTTGAATTGAAATAGAATGGGTTGTGTCAAAGCCTGATGGACAAGCGTTATTGGGTTGGATAAAAATGATTTTGGGCTTCACTTTTTGGCAGGACATTAGATATTCATTAAAAAAAAAAAAAAAAAAAAATTGGGCCGTTTTGGGTTGGGCC